GCTTCCTGTTACGTGGGCCCCCTGACGGGTGCCCGAGGTGAAACGGAGCGGCACGCAGCTGGGCACTCTGCGTGGCAGCCAACAGCTGGTGGGGATGCGCAGGCACCTCCCGGGCTGGGCCCTCCGCCCGATGCTGCGCAGCCATGACAACTCGGAGAAACCAGAGTGCGCGGTGAAGCATCCCGAGGCCGGAGGCCGCCGTGTCCCCGGGGCAGGGCCCGCCCTCTCGAGAACGCCCCTGTTAAACGTCTCCAAAGCAGCTGTTTGTGGGTGGCACGCGTCATCTGCTGCGAACTTGTGCAGACGTCATTCGGGGACCAGGACCGGGTGGCGCCTGCGACAGCTGCCGAGATGGGCTCAGCTCCTGGGGCCAGCGTGGGGGACGGGAGCCTGGAAAAGGGCTGGAGACAGGACAGCTGAGGCGGACGGCCTGGACCCCACTGGCGCTGACTGTCCGCAGGTGCCGGCCGGGTTCCCGGGGAACCAGGTGAATCGAGAGGCTCCGTGAGATCAAGTCCGACGTCACCCGGGTTAACTGTGTCCCCGTGGTACAAAGCGCAGCGTTCTCAGTCCCATTTCCTGCTCCCTTCGGTGGGAAAACCGCTTATGTCATGAGTCGTCAGGCCCACTGTGTCCCCACGTTTCTCCCTCGAGGCCGCACGTGCACAGTCCACGTTAGACCTGGCGGAGAGCGTTTCAGACCGCAGGGCCTGTCCCCGCCTGTCTTCACGAGCCAGCTTCGCATTCCAGACGGCCCCCCACTCACCCCCTCCAGCCTGAGGCTCCCAGCGCCCTGTCCCCTGCTTCCCAGGCTTTGTCCCGCTCTGCGTTAGGACTACAAGCCGAGTCAGAACCTCCTTGGAGAGCCACAGACTGGCGGAAGTGGCCTTACCTGGGGCAGGTGGCCCGGGCTGAGTGCAGGACCGCAGACTCGTCCTCCGTGGCATCTCCCCTTCGGGCCGGCAGCACCACCCCCTCAGCCGCCCACTCGAGGCCGTGCCCCCCTGGCGACCTCACGGCAGCGGGTCATTTCGCCCGTCCGTGCCGGGTGCCTTGGGGCGGGGGCGGGCGTCCAGCAGGCTCCCCGCTGGCCAGAGGGCCTGGCGGCCCCGTCTCCGATGGCCGAGTCACGCTGTCTCTCCCGGTCGGGTTGTCACTGCCCTGGTTTGGGGACCGGAGGTTTCGCTGTCTTGCCTCTCCGTCCTCCTCCTCCCCCAGAGGAGCGTTGGGCCGTGGGTGTCGACGCGTCAAGAGCTTGTCCGGATTCGCCCCGGAGACCGTCGGACCGGCCGGCAGCCTTTCCGCAGCCGCGGCCTCGTTCAGTTCACGTCTGCCGAGGCCTCCAGGGCGGACAGCGGGCCTCGGCCGTGCACGCTCGGTTTTCCCTTCACCGAGAGGTCACGCGCTGCTCCCCAGTGAGGGGGCGTAAAGACAGGCCGTCCGTGGTCGTCCAGAGTTTAGCACGGACGTGGCCGCTGAGACCCACCTGCCCGCGGGGCAGGCCGACGCCCAGCCCGGGCTCCCGGTGCGCCCTCTGGGACCTCAGCCGGTGCCTGGGCCGCCGGGCGGGCCGTCTGCGTCCTGCGGGGAGGGGGCTTGCTGACCAGCGCCCTCCTCCAGTCCCAACACCGAAGCCATCAGCCGCCACCGAGCCGACTCTCACCCCATTTCCTGCCCAGGCCCAGAGCAGGCGGCGGCAGCGTGCGGACCCCCCAGCTGCCCTTCCCACGCGGTGTCTTCCTGCTGGGCCTCAGCTCCGTGTGGCTCCGGGCCGTGGGACGGGGCCGACGTCACCTCCTCACCCAAGAGCTTGTTTTTCCTCCACACCTGGAGAAAGACTTTTGTCTTTCCATCCAGAACCTTCTTATTTTTCCACTTTCCCGTGCCCACCACGGTCCGGAGGGGTCCCCCCGACAACCTGTCACCTCCACGACGCAGGGCTGTTCCCTCCCGTCCGCCGATCCGCCCGTGTCAGAGGTCCCGTCTCGGACCCTGTGGTGTGGCATGACCTTCAGAGGCATGCTGGGAGGTGAGGTCACGCCCCAGAGTCCCAGACCCTGGGCTCTGGGAGAGTCCCCAGGACGGGACAGTGGCCTGAGCACGGAGCTTCAGCCGACACTGGGCACCCAGAGAGCGCTTCACCCCAGCTCCGCCGTTAGGGCAAGACACCGCCTGCCTGTCCCAGCTCTGGGGACAGTGTCTGCGCGCCACACCCAGTGACCAGAGGGAGATGCCACAGGGGCCTCAGGACTGTGATCGGAGGCGGAGCTCAGCTAAGCTCGGACCTCGGGAGCCAGGAGCACAGGGCAGCTTCTGCGTTTCCTGAGCACCTACTGTGTGCCAGACAATGTCCCCACACCTGGCGGGCACTGCACATCTGACCCCGTTCCTCTTGTGCCAAAAGAGGGAGAAGCCAGTCTGGGGCAGGCAGCTGGGGCGGGGTAGCAGGGGCGGGGGGCGCCCAGCAGGGTAGCTGGCGGCCAGCTGGCCACGGTTTTGCAGGAGGAGCAGGTTGGAGGGGAGGGGGGCGGGGGGCATCGTGGGCGGAGTCTGGAAGCATCTTGTTGGAAGCGGAAAGCAGTGAAACCGTGGAATCGGCACGGGGAGCCCGAGTGGAACCCCCCCACTTCTGTGACCGCAGGCAGGACTGTGCGTCTCCGAGCCACTTCCGGCTCCACCCTGGCCTCCTGAGCACGGCACCTTCACAGGATGAGACCCAGGGGCTGCAGTCCAGGGAGGGGCTCCCCCAGACCGGCTCCGTGGCTGCTGCTGGATGGAGGTCCTGGGCCCGGGCAGGTGAGCCCACCCACCCTCCACCCTCCCAACAGGTGTGTGTTTTAAGCACAAGAACAAAGCTGTTTCCTTGGGGTGAGCAGGGGCACTGGACCCCAGCATCAGCACAGCCAAGACTTCTTAAAGGAGATCGTAGTCAAATTTTATTTGCAAAATAAAAATCACGCCCGGGGACAAAGACTTAGAGGCAGAGACGCAGGATCCTTTTTCTTCTGTGAGTTCTCGGTTTCCCCATTTTCACCCCAAAGCCCCCCAGACCAGGTAGCCGCTACTTCTAACCGAGTGACCCCGCCGCCGAGGAGCTGTCAGTGGTGTCCGGGGGCCCAGGGAGCCGCGGACACGGCCCTCGTCTGTCGGAGGGTGTCACGCCCGCTCCGTGCTGCTTCGCTGCCCTTTTGACAGTGTCCAGAGTCCCTCGGAGCCCTGTGACCTCCCATCTCCCCGGCGACCCCTCGCAGCCTGCTGCTGCCCTCCACGCGACAGGCGTCCACCCCGGCCTTCCAGAGGCTTCTAAGCCGAGGTCCCTGTCAGAGAACAGGCTCACCCTAACGAAGCTCGGGGCTTGATGAGCGCGCTCGGTGAGTGCCTTCCCCACAGGACAGCTTCCGGTGGCTCTGGCCTGAGCCTCGGTCCCCACCTCCGAGGGGTCAGCAGGTGGCTTGTTTAAGGAAACCGTCATCTCTGCTCCCGCAGTGGCTTTCTGTTCCATTGCGAAATTCGGAAATAACGCAGAGCGTTGCGAATGGTTCACTTAGCAACAGCCCGGACGTTCGCCCGGAGGCCCCGCTGGGGACCAGGCTCTCGGCCGCTCGTGGCCGTCGTCCCTGGGGCCGCGGGCTTGTCGCGTGCTCCACGGGGCCCAGCACGGCCCCAGGCCTTGCACTTCCCTCCGTCCAGGTCACAGCCCCCGCTGGTGACTCCCGATGGGCTGGTGACTCCCGATGGGCTAGTGACCGAGGGCGCTTTACCGAACGGCTCCGAACCGCCATTTATTCACTTGTAGAAGGAAAAGTTTTAAAAACTCCAAAACCGACAATAAAACGTGCCGGCCACGCTGGACGCGTCCTGTGCGCTCTGCCCGGCCCTGGCCATGGCGTCCAGCATGGCCAGCCCTCCGCAGTCGTCTTCTTGGGCTCCTTCCTTACAACGTGGAGCTTCAGGGCAGCCTGGGCCTGCGATGTGGCCTCGTCACCTTCAGGGCAGCCTGGGCCTGCGATGTGGCCTCGTCACCTTCAGGGCAGCCTGGGCCTGCGATGTGGCCTCGGCACCTTCAGGGCAGCCTGGGCCTGCGATGTGGCCTCGTCACCTTCAGGGCAGCCTGGGCCTGCGATGTGGCCTCGTCACCTCACCGCTCGGCCTCGAGGGGGGACCTCTGGCTGTCGGAATCCAGGCTTCTGGAAAGCTCAGCCCAAGAGCGTGCCGCTGTGTGGGTGCAGGGTCTGCAGTTTCCCCAGGAAAAGCCGTGTCCTCGTCCTTGTCCTCACGTGCCCGTGCCCGCTGGGGAGAGTCCCCGGAGAGCGCGGTCTGTCAACACGGAGACACCCAGATCAGCCGTGACGGAGTGGAGGAACGTGCACTAGAGCGAAGAACCACGTTTCACATACAGGTGGCACAAGCAGCCGACGTGGGCGCGGTGACTTACCTGGTGGCACTAGGCGCTGAGGCAGCTCCCGGAAAACAAACCCAGTAACATGGAAGCATCTAGAACCGTCTTTTTAGAAGGGCCTTTTGTGTTTGGACGTTTTATTTCTGGAAATCTGTCTGAGGAGATTAACTCCCCGTGGGGCAGAGCTGTGTAGGGGAAGATGCTCGCGGTGACATTAATTATAATGAAGATGAGAAGCAACAAATTTGTAATAAGAAAGTGGCCAAGTAGGTGGTGGGGCAGCTGCTCACACCCGTTAAAGACAACGGTCGTAAAGATCGCGTGACCCCGTGGGCGATGCTTTTGATTAAGTGAGAAAGAACACCCCAAATTATCCGCGTAACACAACCGCCGCCTCGTGAAGCACGTGTGTGAAGATCACGCCAGGGCACCGGAAGGTGGTTACGGGAGGGGGACGGCTCACCAGCGACGTTTTCCTTCCGATTCTCAAAATTTCTGTAGTGCGGTGCACTTGCTTTTATTCTGAAACAACGAGGGTGGGTACGTGCGAGGGAGGGGCAGTGGCGAGGAGCAGGTGACCCCGCGGGTCTCCGCAGAGGGTGGCAGGCGGCAGATTCGGGTTCCCTGGGGCACGGGTGCCGACCCCTCCGGTATGTTCTGCCCTGAGGGGGCCCAGGTCCCATCTAACCGTTTGCCGGCGGGAGGAGCTCAGCGCTGTCAGGGGACCGGGCGCGGTGTGGGCCGGGTCATGGGGGGTCATGGGGGATCGTGGGAACTGGGCGCGGTGTGGGCCGGGTTGTGGGGGGTCGTGGGAGGTCGTGGGAACCGGGCGCGGTGTGGGCCAGGCCCTCGGGGTCCGGGGCCCCAGGCGGGCGCGGGGTCCTGGCTTCCAGGACCAGGAACAGGGCGCGAACTCGGAGCAGGGCTTAGTGGCCACGTCTCGGGAGGAAACGTGGTGACACCGTCGTGGTCAGCTCGGGCTCTGTCACCAATCCCACCGCCGGGGCCGAAGCAGCCCACGTCTTCCTTGCCAGCCGTGTGGAGCTCGGACAGGACTCGGCCGGTGTGGCCGGGCCCTGGCCAGAGCCTCAGGGTTAGCGACTGCACCTCCTTACGAGGCGCTGACCCACGGTGGCCCCCGTGACCTCTGCAGACCCGTCCGCTCCCCGAGGCCCAGCTCCTAGCACCATCGTTTTTGCGGCTTCGGCTTCAGCGTGTGAGTTTGGGGATGTGGTTCAGTCCCTAGCAGCTGTGAAGGCAGGGTGTGGCCGGGGCTGGTCTCTGCAGAGCACTCAGGCTTGCCCTTGACCTTCCCGCCTTAGGCGGGGTCTGGCTCCACTGGATTTAGGTGGGGAGGGGGAGGCCAGTGGGGGCCTGACCCGTGGGCGGTGCCGTGTCAGCCGGGGTGTGCACCTGCGGGGGACGGGGGTCACCGCCCTGCAGCCCCTCCTCGGGGAGGCACTGGGAGGAGGCCCCAGGCCACAGGCGGGTGCCAGGCAGAGGGTCCCCAGTGGCCAGTAGGACTCGGGGTCTCTGAGCTGTCCGTAGTGGGCCGTGATGGGGTCATGGGATCAGCTGCTGCTGCGTCCCCATGCGTGGTGAAGGTGGACACTCAGGACAGGCAGCAGCTCTGTGGCTTCTGCATGGGGCGCCGCCCAGTTCACGAGCTGCGCTGCAGAGCCGATCAGATTTAAAATAAGGAAAAGGACGTTAGAGCAAATGGACACCAGCGGCGCCCTGGCTGCCGGGCGGGGTGCGAGCTGGCCGGCCGTGCCCGGCGTGTAACGGTCCCTGTCCCCTCCCCTCCTGTGCCTGCCGCAGAGTCAGATGGAGTTCAGCGTCTGCTCCTTGTCCACCCAGGAGCCCGGCGGTGCCGCCAGTGAGCCCAAGCAGCCCTGCAGAGTCGCCCAGGGCGGCAAGGCCACCGGGCCGGACGCCCTGGGCCCCGTCGGGAAGGAGGAGGAGGCGCCCTTCTGGAAGATCAGCGCCGAGCGGTCCCGCGGGGCAGGGCCCCAGGCCGAGTTCCCGTCGCTGACGCCCAGCCAGATCAAGTCCATGGAGAAAGGCGGGAAGGCCCTGCCAGCCAGCTACAGGCAGGAGCCCGCCCCGAAGGACAGGGAGGCCAAGGCCGAGAAGCCCAGCCACCTCCGCCAGGAGCCGCGTGTCGTTCCCAGCACCAGCGTGGAGCGCGAGGGGCCCCAGCCCGTCCAGGCCTGCTCCGGCACAGAAGATGAAGCCACCGCTTCCGAGCCTGTGGGCAAACCGCCTGCTCCCGAGGCCGGCCCGGAGGGCGAGGAGGACACAGATGCTCTGTTCTCGGACCCCGGGCCTCCACAGGTGGGTGGCCCCTTCCTCCGGGGGTGACCTGGGGAAGTCGCCCACAGGACGGAGGGCCGCAGACGCGCTCCCCTGTCCCCTGCCCATGCCCAGGGCCTTTGGGGTGAGGCCGGCCGGTTGTCACTGAGCTCGGCAACTGACGATGTGCAGGGAGCTGAGTCTGTCGTCCGCCTGTCTCTGACTAGTGACCTTTCCCTGACCCTCTGCAGTGGGGTCTTCCCACTGCAGGAGAAATATGGGAGACACAGGAAGGTTTTGGGGGACAGAGTCAGAGAAGGCACATGGAGTCTGCTGAGCGAACGGCTTAGAGCACCCAGCACAGCGTGAAATGCCACCTGGGGGGCTGCGTGTCCACTGCTGCCACATGAGCACCTTCCGCTGGCCAGCTGAGTGGACGACGGGCAGCCAGTGTCCGTGCCCAAGCAGGCAGGCCGCAGCCCGCAGGGGACATCCACGTGGTATCGGCAGTGGGAGGGGCCTCTTAGGTCACAGGCGCTGGCGGGAGCCTGTAGAAATGTGTCTACGACAGCTCACGGGGCCTCAGGTCAACCCCACATCATTATGTGGGTGACCTTTGACCCGAAGAATGTCCCCGGGCTCGGGAAAATCACTCCAGAGCCTTCCACTTACTCTGGAAGAAGTAAGCTTTACATCCTCGTCCCATATCGTTCAGTCCCTCGAGTGCGCAAGTTTGCGTGACGTCGGAAAGACTTTACAGCGTGTCCTCGTAGTCCGTGGCGATGCTGAACCTGCCTGCCACTCAGAGAAAAGCGTTTTCCTCCTCTGCAGCGGGTCTGGGAGCTGCTCGCAGACACATCCGGGGGCAGTGGCAGGAGGGCAGGAGGGTCGGAGGGCTGGGGATCAGACCCTCGCTTTGAATGGTATTTAATTGTCTGGCTCCAAGCACTGCAGCTAATGAGGTTGAGCTGCCTCTGAGACAGAAGCGGGCTCTTCATTTGGGTCATTTTAAATGAGATGCTGTTTTTAGATTCTGCGAAACTGAAAAAAGAAACCTTCATGCCTTACTTTGCTGTTTTTGTCCTTCTGCAGGTCACCTCGAGTAACGTCATCTTGAAGACGGGATTTGATTTTCTGGACAACTGGTAAAATGTGTTAGACCCCCAAAAAAACCCCACGAAAAAACAAGACCCCCCCAAACGTTCCCCGAAGCGGCCGCGGGCAGCGCCCCGCCTTTGCCAGGCCTCCGTTTGCTTTTCCGACTCTGGGAAACTGGTGAATATCACCTCGCCCAGGTTTGCGGATTTTCCACTTTTTCGTAAGACCAGATACATGTGCAGTTTTCAATGATTTGATAACGGGAGTTTTATATGTGGAATTTTTAAAACCTGTTAGGAATCCAATAACTCTCTCAAGTAAATCCTCTGTCCCCCTCCTCAGAGAGAGGGTTTGCTCAGCCATGTCACAGAAGTCGTAAAAGTGACCCCCACCCTCTCCTTCAGCCCCTCCCTCTTCGAATGCGTGCGGTTACCTTCGATGAGTGGTCACCGGCGTCCTCAGCTGGTGACACGAGCGTGCCGGTTGTGGCCGTGGAAAGATTTGCTCCCCACGCCCCGAGCCCCCCGCAACCCGCCTCAGGGCTGCCCTCGCCGAAGCCACACTCGCTGCTGTGTGAGCCACCCCACCCTGGCGTCATCCTAGGAAGTGGACTGGGTGTCTCCACGCTGCCCCGAGGCTTCTTCAGACTAGTCAGCATTGTTTAAGAGTTGCACGTGTAAACGTTTTGTATCAGCTTTTGGTTATTTTGTATCTAGACTTAGCGGTTGTAGGGTTACCACCTTCCTCGGGTCTGTGCCGGGTTCCGTGCCGCAGTCCCCCGCTCAGGCGGCCTGGGGGGTGCCCCGCCCCCGGCCTTGCAGGAGGATGGCCGATGGCGGGTGTCAGGGATGCTTCCCCAGCCCTGACCAGCTTGTGCAGCGCCCCACAGCGCCCCCCACAGACCTCTGTGGTCATGGCGACGGTGTCCCCTGGACTGGGACTTGGCGGCCCCTCCCCTGACGATCGGGGCGCTGTGCCCTGGGGGGGGCGCGATGGCCTGAGCCTGCAGGACGTGCCCACGTGTGACCTCCACTGTGTTCTCACCCGAAGCCTTAATCCCACGAGTCCTGCCAGTGAGCGCCCGTCTGTGCCACGCGTGTCTTTTCAAAATGCCTTTCCGTTCCGTGGGACCTTCTAAAAGGGCTTCCGGCTCCAACAGAGAGCAACGTGGCACCTTTTTTTTTTCTGGGAAAGTCTCTGCCAAAGCTGTGGCTTAGCCAGCGTTTGGTTGAGTCCCTGCCAGGCGTTCGATGTCCCCGAATCCCATCTGGTCCCTCGGGGCTTGGATTCGACCTGCTGCTCTGGCGACTGCATCTTGACAAATGCAGGTCTTTTCTGTACCGATTAAGTAAGATTAAAACGCGAAAGGGAAGAGAGGTCGCTAGCACGGTGGGGGGCGGAGCCCCGGAACCCCCACAGTCAGCAGGGCGGGGGCCCCTCAGAAACCAGGGGCTGGGCAGATGCGAGCCTGCGTCCTTCGGCGTTGGTGGCAGGGAAGAAAGATGTGTCTCTCACGACAGCCCGCGGCCACGGGTCTGTCCTGGGGGACGATTCTGGTTTCTTTCCCACTTTGTCGTCAAGCTGGGGTCCGCAGGGGGTCCCCGAGGCAGTCCCGCCCCAGTGAAGGGCTGGGTCCGGGGAGCGGCCGGAGGATGCGGGCTGCCGGCCCTCGTCCTCCCTGACCTCAGGGTGGCCTCTCACCCCGCCGTCTGCACGGTCCGGGTCCCCGCTCCCGGCCATCTCCGTCCGGCGTGTCCACGTCGGCGCGTTACGCTCCCGCGTTTGCCACCCTCGAGCTTCTAAAGCCGGGAGTCTCCGCTTCTACCTTTAAAAGCGCGCTTTTCGGCGAAGCCGGTGCGGGGTTTGGAGTCCCCTCCCCCTCCCCCGCACCTGGGACTCAGACGGGCACCGTGTCTTGCTTTGCGTGACTGTATTTTGCAAAGTCTCCCCCGAGAAGTCAGAAACCAGCCTCAGCCCTTTGCCTGGGGCCCGTCCCCTGCCCTCTGGCGGTGCCACCTGCCCTGGGAACAGAGGGGGTGCAGCCCCCCCCACGGGGTGTCGGGGGGCCTCCCTTTCTTTGATACGCATTTTCAAAAATGAGAGTTCTTACTGACCACTTGTACCTTGGTCGTATTTTGTATTAACAGCCTTTAATAAAGCCGTTTAAAACATTGTAGACGTGTCTGTCTGGGCCTCTGCGGGAGCCTGGAGGCTGGTAGGGCGCCCTCTGCGAGCCCAGGGAAGGGAGGGTTCACGCCTCCTCCGGGGGCCCACGCAGGGCGGTCCCGGGCAGAAGGGGGGCTCCGCAGGGTGACACAGACGCCAGGCACGTCTCGAAGGACGGACAGCGCATCGAGTGACTGCCTGGGAGCAGCAGATGCCACTTCCCGACAGCCGCCACCCTGGACGCGGCCCAGCGGAGTTCCCGCAGAAGCAGCCGCGAGCCGGGCGTGGCCGGACACCCGCTTCGGTGGCGCGCAGGCGGTGAGGTTGAGCAGGGTGTCCAGGGGTCCATTCTCCACATCGAAGGAGTGTTTGAAACCGACCCCGTCAGGAAAGTGGCGCTGGCTGACATGTCCCCTAACCCAGTGTCACGCAGAGCGGGGTCTCTGCCGCCTGGGGGCCGGCAAGCATGCGGGTCTTGCACTTGGTGGGAGGATGCGGGCCGGTCCCCAGCTCGTCAGTGTGGCAGTCTGTGGGACCAACATGTGTTTGAAACGTGTTTGTGTGAGAGGGAGCCATCGGCACAGAGACGCAGGACGCCTGGCCGCATTCTGCACTTTGCAGCCAGGAGGGAAGATGCTGAGTCTGGGGCCGGAGAGCGCCGGGTGGGGCT